CCCCAAAACCCCAAAACCCCAAAACCCCAAAACCCCAAGAATATATCTTAAAATTGAAAATTATCATAATTATGGGTTATGATATGTTTGTCCAAAGAATTTCTCCATAGGCTTTTTTACAATGCGATCGTTATCCTTCCTATCTTCAGAACCTGTGCTGAAATATATCTTTTTATGATATCTATCTTTCATAGTATTTATTGTCTGCATCAGATGAACTCCGACGACCCCTCTAGAAAATAGGTGGTAACCTTACTCATTAATAGTTTGAAAATTTCTGTTTTTCTCAAATTTCATATTATTTGGCAACTTTTCAATAGTTTTATTCTCATGATTTTGATCGAAAGGAAAACGCTTATTGTAATTGCTAAAATTGGGTAAAACCATTGAATTTCTTTCGGATACTCACCGTCCCTAGAAGTTACTTTAATAAATTACATATTTATAGTTCACATTAATTACTCCTGCTCTATGAGCTAGTAAATTATCCATAGACCGTCTTCCCTTCTTCATTGGATTCAAGTTAAGTAGCCCTTTATTTTCCATTTGCAATTTCCATCAAGTATTTGTTGCTTGGCTTATAAATCTTCTGATACTGGCTAGTGTGAGGGAGAGTTCAATTAGGCCTCAAATTCATTCTTTGACTATTTAAGTAACTTTCCTTGTTTATTCCACTATTTTCTAAACCATTTGGACTTGAAAATTACTGATTAGTTTCTTTAATTTATGCTGAAATTTAGAATCATTCTCTACTTTAGAGGAACTAGAAGACTTCAGCTGAGCCCATGTATCTCCAGTTGGGTTAAAGCGACTGATCTCAGCTGGAAGTCTTAAGTTCATATTACTAGAAGTCACATTACAGAACACTTTCATCCTGTCCATTGAAGAGCCATAGCATTCTTGAGATAAGGTAAGGAATCTATCTAACAAAGGTTTATTTCTAGACTTGATTTCTTTAATTTGTTTTTCTGACCCAATCTTTCAATCAGTTTTACTTGGTTGATTCTCACTATACCAAAATTATCTTCCTGGATTACTCGTTTATTATCTCATTCTTTAAAGTCTTCAGAGCATTAGTTACCTTCTTTCCTGAATGAGTGCGAGGTTTATGAAAATTCATTTCTGTGTTAAGCTTTCGTGAATTAGTACTTTTCTTTCCCTCTCATGTAATATAACCATTAGCTTTAAATTCCTGAATTGACTCAAAGTGCTGACTATCGAAGAATTTTGAAGACTATATTTCTTCGATAAACATTCAAAGACAGTTAGCAAAACTTACATTAGACTCCATTTCTAGTTAAATAAAAATAAATCTTGGGGTTTTGGGGTTTTGGGGTTTTGGGGTTTTGGGG